AATACAAAAATGGTATATTGTAATGAAAAATTCAACGGTAAGACATTAATTTTTTTTACCAAGGACATCACTGTAAGACATTAACTGGAATTTCTAAATGATATTTTGTTTGTATAGTTGTCATTGCAAAATTCCATTGACTATTTCAACAGAGATCAAATTACATTATCTATTCTTGTGTAAATTTAATTATTTTAATTATCATTATTTATTATTGCGTGAACTTTTGTTAAAAAAATCGGGTCATATTTCAACATTTGGAAAAAAATCGGGTCATATTTCAATTCATAATATATTTTTAAAAAATTTATGAACAAAAGTTGACTCGACAATATTATTAATGATATTATGAATTGTAAATATTTATTTAAAATATTAATTAAAAATTGTAATTAAATATAAAATAATATACTATATACAAATATTTGATATATAATGAGACAGATGATCGAAAAAATTCTATACTTTACATTATGTCTTTTTTGACAAATCTATAGTTAAGAACATGTGAAAAGACAAGATAAAGTTTTAAAAAAATATTAAATATAAGAAATAATATGAATAATAACTAAATTGTGACACGTACTAATAAATATAAAACAAACTAATAAACAAAAATAATATAATTAATATACCTAAATATAAACATTCTAAAAATATACTTATCGATATAATCGAACTGAGTTGTCAAACGCTTGTTAGTTTTTTGTGCTTATTAATTTTATGTGTAAATTTGAGGTGATAGACAATAGTTATTTGTACATTTATCCATATAGATTAGAAAAAAAAAATCTTTATTATTCTAATTTAAATAACTTTTTTATTTACTATTTTATTTTTTTAATATAATATATAAGTATCATATTGAACATATAAAACAAGAAATATTTTAATTATATAATATTTAATATGTAAGAAATGAAACTCAATTGGTAAATTAATATGTAATCTTGAGATAACATAATGAGTGGTTTCTGAAAAAAAAAATTATAGGAACTAAAAAATTCACGTGTTTAATATATTTTTAATAGAAAAATTGTAAACAAAACTACTCAATATATACTACATAAAAAATAATGTTTGAGAGGACTACAAAAAAATTGCTATACTGCAATGAAAAACTCAACGGTAAGGTATTCTACTGAAAATTCCAACGAATATATTGCTTTCATTGGAAAATTTCATTGGCTATTCCAATAGAGTTCAAATTAAATTACATGAACTTTAGTGAATTTAAATATTTCAATTACCTGAATTTCTATTGGAATTTTTTTTTGGACCATATTTCAATCGTTGAAAAAATTGTCATTGGTATTATGCAAAAATTTAATAGAAGTTCCATTGGAAAGATAATTGCAGTAATATATCCAAAATAATTTCATATTGAGAGCATTATTTAGTTAATAGAAAAAAATATAACATCAAAATAACATATTATTGCAATTTATAAATTATATTTTACATAATCTATCACCATTCTCATTTGTAATACATATAATAAATTTATGCAATCACAATTAGGTAAAATATATTTAAAAAACTAAAAGTCAATATTTTTCTTAAATCAACATAAGAAAATCGTTATATTTGTTGTAATTTTTGTTGGAATTCTATTATTTTCTTGTAGTAAAACTAGGACTCAAAATCTATAAAAAAAAATGCATTATATATAATATTGTGTGCAACTATTATTATGAAAATTTTTTATACGATAGAAAATATAACACATTCAATGTAAATGACGTTCAATTTATGATAAGAAGTATTTTTTTTTCAAAACAAACAAGATACTTTGAAAGGTTCTTAATTATTTTATTAGTATTATAATAACTAAATAAGGGGTAAGAATGATGACAAAACTTATAGCTCTCATTGAATCCAAAACTAAAAATGCTGATAAAATTACTTAATGTAAAGTATCAATTGGAGCTTGCTAATGAGAAATATAAAACATACTTAAGATACATATATATTTTGACTAGAACTTTTAAGTACATTATATATATATATATATATATATATA